GACGACTTTATACCTCAAGATGATGGCCAAAACAGAGTAGATGTCGGATCTAATGCTTCACTCCTTGCTCCTTCCTCTTCAAGCTCTAGAATCCTTCACAAATACCCCAAAATTTCTCACAAAAGGTCTTTCTCTCACTCAAGAAGGTTGAAGGTCGATCTAGGGTTTTCTCTGGCTATTAGGGTGATAAGGGAGGCCACAAGAGGCGTATTAAGTTATTTAAATAGGGTGCAAACCCTAAAAATTAGGGTTTCTCTTTACAGCTCCTACTCGTCGAGTGGGGGATTCTGACTTGTCGAGTAGGACCCAAACCCAGCATCCCCTAACAGTCTCTACTCGACGAGTTGGATTACCCCAACTCGCTGAGTCCATGCACAAAATCCTAAAAACTATATCAATTAATCAATACCTAGAACAAGTGTTACAAGTCTCCCCCACTTGAACTAGACTTCGTCCTCGAAGTCTGCTGGTCCAAACAAATCCGGGTACTGGTCTTGCATCTCGTCCTCCGGCTCCCAAGTCCATTGGGAGCCCCTGCGGTGCTGCCATTGCACCTTTACTAGCTTCACTTCCTTGTTCCGAAGAACCTTGGTCTTCCTATCTAAGTTTGCAACTGGTCTCTCAATGTAGTTCAGGTTCTCGTCCACCTGAATGTCGTCCAGAGAAACTACTCCGGCTTCATCAGTGATACATTTCCGAAGCTGTGACACATGGAAGGTGTTGTGAATCTGGCTAAGCTCATCCGACAGATCCAAGCGATATGCCACCTTGTCCACCCGGGCCGTAATCCTGAACGGGCCTATATATCGGGGTCCTAGATTGCCCCTCTTTCGAAACCTGATGACCCCCTTCCATGGTGACACTTTCAGTAGCACAAGGTCCCCCACCTGGAACTCAAGATCCGATCGCCGTCGGTCAGCATAACTTTTCAGTAGCACAAGACCCGCAACCGGTCGCGCACCTGCTGAATCAACCTGGTAGTCCTGAGCACTACCTTAGTGCTCCCCATGACCCGGTGTCCAACCTCGTCCCAACAAATCGGGGTCCTGCATCTCCTACCATAGAACATCTCAAATGGAGGTCGGTCGATACTGGCAGGGTAACTATTATTGTATGAAAACTCTGCCAGTGGAAGGTACGTATCCTAACTCCCTCCATAATCCAACACACATGCTCGCAGCATATCCTCAAGTGTCTGGATCGTCCTCTCACTCTGGCCATCTGTCTGGGGGTGGTACGCCGTACTAAAATGCAACTGAGTGGCCAGTTCCTTGTGAAACTTCTTTCCAAAACCTAGATGTAAACCGAACATCCCTGTCAGAGACTACCGACACTGGCACCCCGTGTCTATCCACCACCTCTCGTACATAAATATCCGCCAACTTCTCAGTGGATATACTCCCAGAGATCGGAATAAAATAGGCAATCTTCGTCAGTCTGTCTACGGTCACCCATATGGCGTCCACACCCCTCGCCGTCCTCGATAACTTTGTGATGAAGTCCATAGTGATCTCTTCCCATTTCCCCATGGGAATGGGTAGCGGATGAACCTTTCCATGAGGCCGCTGGTGCTCGGTCTTGACCTTCTTGCAGGTCAAGCACCGCTCCACAAAGCAGGTGATCTCCCGCTTCATGTAGGGCCACCAGTAACTCAGACTCAAATCTCTATACATTTTCGTAGTCCCCGGATGTATAGAGAACATGGACTTGTGTGCCTCCTCCAATATATTCTGTCTCACTCCTCCAATCACCGGTACCCACACCCGACCATAACTATCCTTAACAAACAAAGGATACTGTCCCCGAATCCGCTCTATCTTCCAATTCTCCTTAACAAACAAAGGATACTGTCCCCGAAGGCCATAACTATCCTTAACAAACAAAGGATACTGTCCCCGAATCCGCTCTATCTTCCAATTCTCCTTCTTCACCCCCTCGACTTGTGTCTCCTTGATCATATCCAACAATGGAAAGATCACAGTCATCCTCAAACAAACGTTCCTAATCTGGGAATCTGTCGCCTTGCGACTCAAGGCATCAACCACCACGTTGGCCTTCCCTGGATGGTATAGGATCTCACAATCATAATCTTTCAACACATCCAAACACCTCCCCTGCCATATGTTGAGGTTCTGTTGATCCATCAAATACCTCAAACTCTCATGATCAATATAAATATTGCACCGTACCCCATACAGATAGTGCCTCCAAATATTGAGGGCAAACACCACTGCCCCCACTTCCAGGTCGTGAGTGGGGTAATTCGCCTCATGAGGCTTCAACTGCCTCGAGGCGTAAGCTATCACGTGCCCCCTCTGCATCAGTACTGCGCCTAACCCTGAGTTCAATGCATCACAGTACACCACCAAATCATCTAACCCCTCTGGTAGTACTAGAATCGGAGCCTCGCATAACCTCCGTCGCAGGGTCTTAAAAGCCAACTGCTGATCCGTGCCCCACCGAAATGCCACATGCTTCTTGGTCAAACGGGTCAATGCCACAACAATCTTAGAGAAATCCTGGATAAATCTCCGATATTAGCCCGCTAAACCCAAGAAGCTACGGATCTCGAAAGCATTCTTCAGTACTTCCCACCGCATCACTGCCTCAACCTTGGTAGGATCAACCGAAATACCCTCCTGGTTGATGATGTGCCCCAAAAACTATACCTCTCGCAGCCAAAACCACACTTGGAGAACTTGGCATACAGCCTCTCCGCCCTCAGGGTCTCCAATACCTCTCTTAGATGCTGCTCATGCTGCTCCTTGGTCTTAGAATAGACTAGGATATTGTTAGATAAGGTGTCTAAGTCCATAACTTTATTTGGTATATACTTGACCCGACCCGACATGGTCCATTTGGTTTGCACTTCACCCGAACTATTTGTATGGTTAAACCTTTGAGAATTGTATGTTTATGATTTGTTAATATATTATAAGTTATAATATATTAATATGAAATCCTATTATTTAATTAGTATTGATCATAAATTAATTTAGAACTAATTTGGTGATCAAAAAGGTGACTAACTAAATATGGGCTCTTGTATTTATATAAGTGTGGGCTAATACTCATTTGGAATGGGCTTGGCATGCATGGGAGTCCATGGATAGTCCATGGAGCTTTTAACCCATGGATCCTTGGAAAGGAAGAGTCATGGGTATTAGGGTTTACATGGATGTAACCCTAATTCCCCACACTAAATAAAGGAGCTTATGATGCTTGAAATGTCACTAGTTGTGTGTATGAAAGAAGGCGGCCGATTTCTACAAGCAAACATACATTCTCATAGTTTTTCCAAGTTTGTGGTGATTTGTGATTTCCATTTGAGGCATCCATATTATTGGTGCTTGGCTCTTAAACTCCTAGGAATCAACTCACTATTGAAAAGGTATGTAATTCATCTAGCCTTTATGTTTAAAGTTCCCCATGCCATGCTAGATAGGTTATGAACCTTGGAAAAAAAATTTGCATGTATTCATAGTAAAACATAGATCCAAGGTTTCTAGGGTTGCATGTACACCATAGGAGTGTTAGGATGCTCAAAACCCATCAGTGGTATCAGAGCCTAGGATTGTTTTCTTGAATACTTGATGCAAACTGTTGAAAAATCGAAAAATTGAGTTGTCTGGGCAGTGGACTCGCCGAGTCCATGGGGGGCTCGACGAGTCCAAGTGAAAATTCATCCTACTCGTCGAGTAGGTTCCTGCACTCGACGAGTAGGAGGCTCTGACTGCAGTTTTTCGACTTTTGCTGCTGGAAATGGACTAGAAACATTACCCTAAATTGTTTTGATGTTTTAAAACCTGTTTTAGATCGTGTAATGGTTATGCTAATCCATTTACAATGACCAATATCAAAATTCCATCTTTTGTATGTGTTCATATGATTCTTGAATTTTTGATATGATATTCATGTTCTTATGAGTTATTGTTAGATCATAGGAATTACTTGCTAAATTGTTTAATGATTAATTCTTGATCAATTATGTGTTTTAATGGAATCCATAATTTGTCCTCAAGTTATGGATTTCCAAAGGTCACTTTCTTTAATGTACATTTAAAACACATAAGTTACATAAAAATGAAGAGTCTTCACTTTTATGAACCATTAACTCATATGTTATGAAATGAAAAGTTTTGAATAGTTTCAAAACTTGCCCTCAAGTTTTGGAATTTGTAAAGTTACACACACACATTAAAATACTTTATATGTATAAGAACAAGTCGTTTTACCGTTAGTAGGCCTCATTCACGAAGCCGGTCTATAAGGGGGGTATAAGGTCGTTGCCTATAAAATGGCAGCTTAATGGGTGTCCACTCTCACCCACCGCTTCCTTGACTGGTGGAGGGTCGTTAGCCGAACGGGTAGGACAATGACTTTAACTCTCATTAAAAGTATAATGATTATTATAAAGTAACTACATGTTTTATAAATTCCCAATCTTAGTTACTTTAGGAAATTGTGAAAAATGGTGCTAACCCATGAAATTCATACTTTGTACCTTACCAAGTCGTTGGTGTAGCGTGTGTGGTTAACCGACACACTAACTTGGACTAGTAAGGATAACAAAGGGTGACTTAATGTTTATCATAGATCGGTGGAGCGCGCGTGGTTAACCGACACATTGATTAGGTGATAATATTAAGGGTACCAAGTGAATTTGCATGGTTATTCACACCTTGTTTTGTGATCCTCGGCATCCCAGTCACAATACTTGAAGGGCACAATTGAGATTGAAACATGCCATTGAAAAGTTCAATGAATCTCAAAAGAATCTAGGAATTTCAAAATCAATTAAACCTAATAATTCATTTCGTTTTCATGGTGGAAATTGGTGAATCGTCATTCACCTACCTTCAAATATGTTATTGCTTAGATTACGGCATCCCTCTTCTAAGTTATAATATATTGTGTGGGGTCCTAGCCTTAATATTACATTTGGGTGTCTTATTAAGGACTCTAAATATCTAATCTAAACTTGTCTTTCTTCTTTTCAGATGTCTTCCAACAATGCTTCGGGTTCTAACCCTACCGGCTCCTTCTCTCTCATGAATCTTTGTGGGAGAGTCATCTTCGATGGTTCCAACTTTATGGATTGGATCTGGAACATCAGGATGGTAACTCGTTACGAGGACAAGGAATATGTCCTTGACAAGGAGCTTAAGGAACTCGATGAGACTACTGCTACTCCTGAGGAGGTCGCTGAATACATGACACATGAGAGAGATGCCACCAAAGTGGCATGCATCATGATGGCCACAATGACAGCCGAGCTCCAAAAGTCCTATGAGGACTATTACCCTTTTGAGATGCACCAGGACTTGATGGAAATGTACCATCAGAGTGCTCGTCAAGAGCGGTATGAAATAATCTCCTCCATGATAACAACCCGAATGAAGGATGGTGAACCCATCACGGGCCACATGCAGAAAATGCAAAGGTATGTGGACCGTTTGCTGAAATTGAATGTGAACTTCCCTGAGGAGTTGGCAATTGACATCATTTTGCACTCCCTACCCTCGTGTTATGATCAGTTCCACATGACATACCACATGAACAAGGAGGAAGTTACACTTAGCGAGCTTCAGGGACTTCTGAAGACCGCCGAAAGTGGTCTTAAAGGTAAGTCAGTTGTTACTACTCCTACTCCTACAGCTACCCCTGTTTTGGCTATCGGGCAAGGCAAAGGGAAGAAGAGGAAGACCCGTTCGAAGGGTACCAAGGGAAAGTCTCTTGATGGCTCCTCAGCAAGTGGAACCAAAGGTGGTTCTGCTACTCCTTCTGCCATCCCTAAGGATGCTGATTGCTTCTATTGCCAGAATAAGGGGCACTGGAAGCGAAACTGCCCAAAGTACTTGTAGGATGTCAAGGATGGGAAAGTGAAACCATCCCATGTAGGTATTTACACTATATTGTCTAATAACTCACCATATTCTAACTCTTGGGTCCTTGATCTAGGTTGTGGTATTTACATATGTTCTGATTTGCAGGGCCTAAGAAGAAGTGAGGATGTGGAGCACGGGAAGATAAACTTAATCATGGGGAATAGGAAGGCTTCACCTATTACAAAGATTGGAGTTTATACTTTGTTGCTAAGTAGTGAGTTAAAGTTAGATTTGAATAAATGTGTTTACTCGTCTGAAATGGTGAGGGAATATTATTTCCTTTCATGATTTGTACAAACAAGGGTTTACCTTTTCTTTTGATAATGAAGTTGGTAGTATTAATGCTTTCTTTAATAATGTTCTTTATTTTAAAGCATTACCTTGTGATGGTGTGTATGAAACTGTGTCGGTTGTAGATAACCTAGGAAATAATGTGTTGTGTATTGATTCCTCTACTAGCTTGGATAAAGCATCATTGTGGCATTGTCGTCTCGGACATGTAAGCAAGAAACGCATAGGCCAAGTCCAAAAGGATGGAGTCTTGGAGTCATTTTACCTAAAGTCAGATGACAGTTGTGAATCTTGTTTGCTTGGAAAAATGAGAAAATCACCCTTCACTGGTACTTGTGAAAGGGGTGAAGGTTTGTTGGACCTTATACATACTGATGTATGTGGACCCTTCAAAACCGCCACAAGGGATGCTAATCGCTATTATCTGACTTTTACTGATGATTATAGTAGATATGGTTATGTCTACTTAATCAAGCATAAGTTAGAGACTTTTGAAAGGTTTAAAGAGTTTAAAAAGGAAATAGAAAAATCAACTGGGCAGGAACATTAAGATGCTTCGATCCGATCGAGGTGGTGAGCATCTTAGTATAGAGTTCCTCGACTATCTTAAGGAGTGTGGGATTGTCTCACAATTGACACCTCCCAGGACACCACAGCTGAATGGTGTGACTGAGAGGTGTAATCGTTCCATGATGAGTCGAGCTTCGCTACCAATCTCTTTTTGGGGGTATGCCTTAGAGACTGCCGCCCACATCCTTAATCTAGTCCCTACAAAGAAGGTTGCCAAAACACCTCACAAGATGTGGACTGGGAAAGTTCCCAACTTGGACCACATCAAGATTTGGGGTTGTGAGGCTTTTGTGAGGCGCGAGACTCACGATAAGCTCGAACCTCGAAGTGAGAGGTGTATTTTCATTGGCTACCCACAGAAATCCTTTGGTTACCTCTTCTACATACCCAATGAGAATGTTGTCTTTGTGGCGAGGAGAGGGGTCTATCGTGAGAGAGAGTTCATGAGCCAAGGAAACAGTGGGAGGCAATTTGACCTTGAAGAAATTCAAGAGTCAAGTGGTGAAGGAACCTTAAACCCTAGCAATCAACCTGAGGAGGAAACTCCTGTTGATCCGACAGATGAGTCTGTACCTCTGAGGCGTTCCACAAGAGTTAGGAATGCACCTGAGCATTACTATGGTTTCCATATTACTGCGGAAGGTGATACACTTATCAGTGATAGTACACTGGTAAATCTGGATGAACCTAAAAACTACACAGAAGCCATGGCAGGCCCTGAGGCTGCAAAATGGAAAGAGGCTATGGACAGCGAGATACAGTCCATGTATGACAATAAAGTTTGGAACTTGGTTGACAATGTACCAGGTCGTAAGACAGTCGGGTGCAAATGGATCTTCAACAAGAAGACCGACATGGATGGTAATGTACACACTTATAAGGCGTGACTGGTTGCAAAGGGATTTTCTCAAACTCCGGGATTTGATTATGATGAGACCTTTTCACCGGTAGCAAAGATTAAGTCTATTAGGGTTATGTTAGCCATTGCTACATTTCATGACTATGAAATATGCCAAATGGATGTCAAAACCGCTTTCCTTAATGGGAAGCTGGCTGAGGATGTTTACATGAGTCAGCCAGATGGTTTTGTCAGCAAAGAGTACCCTAATAGAGTGTGTAAGCTTGAGAAATCATTCTATGGATTGAAACAAGCACCTCGCAGATGGAATCTTTGCTTTGATGAGAAAGTCAAAGAGTTTGGATTTTCGAGAAGTGAAGATGAGTCATGTGTTTATGTCAGGGCTAGTGGGAGTATAGTTAGCTTCATGGTGCTGTATGTGGATGACATACTGCTCATAGGAAATGACATCCCAACTTTGCAGGAGGTGAAGTCCTGGCTTGGGAAGTGTTTTGCTATGAAGGACTTTGGAGAGGCTGCGTATATCCTAGGGATAAGGATACTAAGAGATAGGAGTAAATGACTAATTGGACTTAGTCAGAGTACCTACTTGGATAAGGTGTTGAAAAGCTTCAACATGCATAATTCCAAGAAAGGAGAATTACCGATCCAAAGCAATGCCAAACTGAGCAAGGCTCAGAGCCCGAGTACAGAGGCTGAGATAGCTGAGATGAGTCGATTACCATATGCTTCCGCTGTTGGCTCGATCATGTATGCTATGACTTGTACCCGCCCTGATGTGGACTTCGCTTTGAGCATGGTCAACAGATATCAGGGGAGCCCTGGCAAGGCTCACTGGATTGCGGTAAAGAATATTCTCAAGTACCTGTGGAGGACTAAGGATTGGATCCTTACCCTTGGTGGGAGTTATGACTTGAGAGTAGTAGGGTATAGTGATGCTAGCTTTCAGACTGATAGGGATAACTTCCGCTCTCAGTCGGGCTGGGTCTTTACTCTAAATGGAGGGGCAATCACTTGGAAGAGTTCCAAGCAGGAGACGGTAGCTGATTCGACTTGTGAATCAGAGTACATAGCAGCGAGTGAAGCATCAAAGGAGGCGATATGGCTGAAGAACTTCATCGGAGACCTTGGAGTTGTACCAGCTATTAAGGAGCCTATGGAGATTTTCTGTGACAGCAATAGTGCGGTTGCCTTAGCCAAGGAACCGAGAGATCATGGCAGATCCAGACACATTGACAGAAAATATCACTTCATAAGACATAAGATAGAAGAAGGACTCCTCGTGGCAAAGAGGGTATCATCAGAAGAGAATCCTGCAGATCCCCTCACGAAGGGACTGACAAGGGTTAGGCATTTACAACATGCAAGGCGCATCGGGTTGAAGGATGATATTAGTTTTACATATTAGATAGCTATTTCTGAAACTTGTAAAATGTAATCGGCATTTGATGATGAATAAAAGGTGTGTTTATTTATGAGTAAAGTGTTACTGTCTTTTGTCAATTATTTACTATTGTTTCAGCTTTGCATGTTTTGAATTCCAAAATAAATTACTTTATTCAAACTTCCACAGTCGGTCATACGTCGGAAGTAGGTATGAATTAAGACTGTCATGAATTGGGCTTGTATATGACTAAAGGTGTTTAGGCATAGCAATGGTTGCTACAACATTCATGAGTGCTCATAAGTTCTGAGTATTGGAATAAACCCACACTCACTTGCATCACTTCATGGAATTTATCTCGAGTGATCGTGAGACGGTAATATCATATAAGTCTTCAAACCCCTAGAGATATGGGTTGTTGCCTATGAGTTGGATGTGCATTGATTGCACGAAAACGTATCAATAACTTGATGTTATAAAACGTGCCTTTGTGTATAATTCAACAAGTAGTAGAAGAAGTATATGAGTCGAAGTTTATCTGTTCCTTCTAGTCCTTGGAGGATTAGAAGCGATATCTGGGCCCCTCGATGATTTTGTTTTGACCTATGTACCGGGCCCGATCAGAACCTAATTGATGTGTTCAATTTAGTTCTATGTCAAACAAATCGGAAATCGGGAAACAAACTGCTGGACAATAAGTACGACGTTATTCCATGTATTTGTCCGGCTGATATCTTGAGAAAAGCGGATTATATGATCACTTATATAAAATGGCACTTCATAGTTCAACAGAGTTTTAAGAGCTACGATTGCTGGTTGGTTCCTGAAGTAATATAGGCAAATATAGTTATTAGACTTATCCAAGTGGGAGACTGTTGGATAAGGTGTCTAAGTCCATAAATTTATTTGGTATATACTTGACCCGACCCGACATGGTCCATTTGGGTTGCACTTCACCCGAACTATTTGTATGGTTAAACCTTTGAGAATTGTATGTTTATGATTTGTTAATATATTATAAGTTATAATATATTAATATGAAATCATATTATTTAATTAGTATTGATCATAAATTAATTTAGAATTAATTTGGTGATAAAAAAGGTGACTAATTAGATATGGGCTCTTATATTTATATAAGTGTGGGCTAATACTCATTTGGAATGGGCTTGGCATGCATGGGAGTCCATGGATAGTCCATGGAGCTTTTAAACCCATGGATCCTTTGAAAGGAAGAGTCATGGGTATTAGGGTTTACATGGATGTAACCCTAATTCCCCACACTATATAAAGGAGCTTATGATGCTTGAAATGGCACTGGTTGTGTGTGTGAAAGAAGGTGGCCGATTTCTACAAGCAAACATACACTCTCATAGTTTTTACAAGTTTGTGGTGATTTGTGATTTCCATTTGAGGCATCCACATTATTGGTGCTTGGCTCTCAAACTCCTAGGAATCAACTCACTATTGAATAGTATGTAATTCATCTAGCCTTTATGTTTAAAGTTCCCCATGCCATGCTAGATAGGTTATGAACCTTGGAAACAAATTTGCATGTATTCATAGTAAAACATAGATCCAATGTTTCTAGGGTTGCATGTACACCATAGGAGTGTTAGGATGCTCATTACCCATCAGATATCATCAATGAAAACAATAACCGACCGATCCAGCATCGGTCGACACACCCTGTTCATGAGATCCATGAACGCTACTGGGGCATTGGTGAGCCTAAATGGAATCACCATAAACACATAATGCCCATACCGAGTCCTGAAAGCTGTCTTCGGTATATCCTCATCCCGAATCCTCATCTGATGGTATCCCGACCGAAGATCAATCTTGGAAAACCAAGACGCACCCTGCAGTTGA